CTTCCTATTTATAGGGAGTTTTCTGGCCAAATAAGTCAAGGAAGAGGGAACACAATTAAATATTTTTGGCAAACTTTGTCAAAGCTTCAGCTGTCCACTGTCTGTCTGTGAATAGGGTGGCTGCTGGAGTGGGCTGCAGATAGAGCTGGCAGTAGAGTAGGCTATTGGGTAGCCTCTGATGGAGCTGGATCCTTCAAATCTCCCCTTTCAAAACCATCAGAAGAGAATATAATTAGGCATTCATATCGGCTATGTCTCTGCACAACTTAAGCTTATCTTGAGTAACGACCTTTGTCAACATGTTTACTGGATTCTCCTTTGTGTGGATCTTCACTAGTTTCAATAACTGTTGCTCCATCACTTCGCGTATCCAATGATAGCGAATATCAATATGCTTCGTCCGAGAATGACACATTGAGTTCTTGCTCAAGTCTAAAGCACTTTGACTATCACAATGCACCTTGTATTCCTTCTGCTCAATACCTAGTTCTTGGAGAAACTGCTTTAACCACAACATTTTCTTACCAGCTTTCGCTGCTGCAATATACTCTGCCTCTGTCGTGGATAAAGCTATGCACTTTTGCAACATTGACTGCCATGACACAGCTCCCCCTACAAAAGTGTAAAGAAATCCTGATGTAGATATTCTACCATCAAGATCTTCTACCATATCTGAATCTGTATAGCCTTCCAAAACTGTTTCAACTCCCCTAAAACACAAGCATATCTTCGATGTACCCTTAAGGTATCTGAGAATCCATTTGACCGCCTCCCAGTATTATTTCTCTGGATTGGATAGAAATCTGTTCACCATGCTCACTGCATGGGCAATATCTGGCCTTGTACATACCATTGCATACATTAGACTCCCAACTGCTGAAGAGTAAGGAATCAGTGTCATATCTTCTATCTCCTTTTTTGATAAGGGACATGAATTCTTGCTCAGCTTGAAATGATTAGCCAGTGGGATGCTGACTGGCTTGACAGTATCCATGTTGAACCTCTGGATCACCTGTTCAACGTATTTCTCCTGTGATAGCCACAATTTCTTGATTTTCCTATCACGAACAATCTGTATGCCTAGGATTTGTTGAGCTGGGCCTAAGTCCTTCATGTCAAAGGATTTGGATAGTTCCTTTTTCAACTGGCTAATCTTTATTGCATCCTTTCCGACGATCAACATGTCATCAACATAAATTAGGAGTGCAACGAAATTATCATCCGAGAATTTATGAACGTAAACACACTGATCTGCAGCAGTCCTCTTGTAACCTTGACCCACCATGAATGAGTCAAATTTCTTATACCACTGTCTGGGTGCTTGCTTGAGGCCGTACAAACTCTTTTTCAACTTGCAGACCAAATTCTCCTTTCTTAGAACCTTGAAACCTTCCGGTTGTTCTATATAGATTTCTTCATTTAGATCTCCATGAAAAAATGCAGTTTTCACGTCCATTTGTTCAAGCTCCAAGTTTAAACTGGCTACTAATCCGAGAATGACTCGAATTGAGGTCATCTTAACAATTGGTGAGAAAATTTCGTCAAAGTCAATTCCTTTCTTCTGTTGGAATCCTTTAACGATCAATCGAGCCTTATACTTCACCAATTTCCCACTGCCATCTTTCTTCAGCTTGAACACCCATTTATTCCTCAGTGNTCCTTCGTCTTTAGGAAGTACACACATATCTTCCGTGAAGCATCATCAATAAAGGTCAAAAAATATCTGTTGCCGCCCAATGATTCCACCTCCAAGGGACCGCAAACATCAGAGTGTACCAAGCTTAACAATTCTGATCTCCTCTTTATAGAGGAACTGAACGAGACTCAATGTTGTTTACCAAACAAGTAATAATTACAAGGATTTAGTGCAACATCCTTGGCAACTGTAATGAGATCCTTCTTTGCCAAAGTAAACAACCCTTTTTTCCCCATGTGACCGTGTCTCTAGTGCCACAGATTTGGTGAAGTCTCATTTTCAACTGCATTGAGACTGTCTGAGCCAACCTTCACATGGGTCTTGTAAAGCGTGTCACAAATATGTCCTCAGGTGACAACCATGACATCTTTCGTGAGCTTCCATGTGCCATTGCTGAAGTGGTTATCGTAACCCTGTTTGTCAAAGGCTATCCCAGAAAGTAGATTTAGCCAAAGGTCGGGCACGTGTCGGACATCCTTCAATACCAATGTACAACCAACATTTTTTTTTATCTGAATATCACCAATTCCCATGATCTTGGAAGAACTGGTGTTTCTCATCCTCACCGTATCAAAGTTTCCAGCTTTGTACGTCGAGAAGAAATCGCTGTTCGAAGTGGCGTGGTATGAAGCTACAGTATCTACATCCTACTCATCGTCATGGTTGGAAAAATGAAGGCATGTCTCCTCATTGACAGAAAGAATAGCCACGTCCTCTGCGAGAGTGACTAGTGTCTCTCCGTCCTGTTTCTTCGGTTGATTACTGCCTTGGTCTTGCTCTCGTAGCAACTTGCAGCAGTTTTTCTTCATATGACCTTGCAAGCCACAATGGTAACACTTGTATGTAGGTCTTCCTCTGTCATTTGATCTCCCTGGATCTTGTGACTTTCCTCTACTTTTACTCTTTCCTATTCCCCTACCTCTGCTACCTCCTTGTTGTCTGCCTCTGTTTTTAGTGACGAGGACATTTGACTGGTCAATACCAATATCCTTTCTTCTGGCCTCCTCATTGAACAGGGCATCCTTAACCATTGACATGGTAAGTTTGCCTCTTGGAGCCGAATTGTTGAGAGAGACTACCAGCGTCTCCCAGCTGTCTGGTAGAGAACTGAGAAGCTAGAGAGTTTGTACTNTTGGATCTTGTGACTTTCCTCTACTTTTACTCTTTCCTCTTCCCCTACCTCTGCTACCTCCTTATTGTCTGCCTCTGTTTTCAGTGACGAGGACATTTGACTGGTCAATACCAACATCCTTTCTTCTGGCCTCCTCATTGAACAGGGCATCCTTAACCATTGACATGGTAAGTTTGCCTCTTGGAGCCGAATTGCTGAGAGAGACTACCAGCGTCTCCCAGCTGTCTGGTAGAGAACTGAGAAGCTAGAGAGTTTGTACTTCATCTCCAAGATTCAACTCTATCGATGATAATTGATTTACCAGACTCTGGAACTCACTAGTGTGCTCAGCAATTGAAGTTTCACTTTTTAACTTCAAATTCACAAATCGCCTCATCAAAAGGGCTTTATTCCGAGCAGTCTTGGCCTGGTACATATCTTCCAGCTTCTTCCAGAGGACATATGCATCAGTCTCTTGTGCANCTGAGAGAGACTACCAGCGTCTCCCAGTTGTCTGGTAGAGAACTGAGAAGCTAGAGAGTTTGTACTTCATCCCCAAGATTCAACTCTATCGATGATAATTGATTTACCAGACTCTGGAACTCACTAGTGTGCTCAGCAATTGAAGTTTCACTTTTTAACTTCAAATTCACAAATCGCCTCATCAAAAGGGCTTTATTCCGAGTAGTCTTGGCCTGGTACATATCTTCCAGCTTCTTCCAGAGGACATATGCATCAGTCTCTTGTGCAACATGGTGGAATACATTGTGGTCAATCCATTGCCTGATTTGACCGATAGTTTTTCTGTTCAGTTTCTTCCACTCCGTTTCTTTTGTCAGATCTGGATTTACACCTTCTGCCTTTAAGGGATCGTACAAGTCTTTACAGCTTAGAAGATCTTCCATTCGAGGTCTCCAAAGTGTATAATTAGAGGCAGTGAGTTTGATCATGGCNCCGTTTCTTTTGTCAGATCTGGATTTACACATTCTGCCTCTAAGGGATCGTACAAGTCTTTACAACTTAGAAGATGTTCCATTCGAGGTCTCCAAAGTGTATAATTAGAGGCAGTGAGTTTGATCATGGCTCCCGATGTTGAATCCTCCGTGGACATTTTGAGTTTGGGCTCTANGTCAAAGGCTATCCCAGAAAGTAGATTTAGCCAAAGGTCGGGCACGTGTCGGACATCCTTCAATACCAATGTACAACCAACATTTTTTTTTATCTGAATATCACCAATTCCCATNGATCATGGCTCCCGATGTTGAATCCTCCGTGGACATTTTGAGTTTGGGCTCTAAATGTCTCAATAAAAAAAATTGGGACTGAATTTTGCAAAACGGAGCGCACCATTGCGTCCAGAATGGTTGAAATAGCTGGAAAACAAACCTGGTTTACCAAAAACGAAGCTAAAATGAGCTCAGAATTGACTCGAAAACTTTTTGGTAACTTAACNTCGAAGTGGCGTGGTATGAAGCTACAGTATCTACCTCCTACTCATCGTCATGGTTGGAAAAATGAAGGCATGTCTCCTCATTGACAGAAAGAATAGCCACGTCCTCTGCGAGAGTGACTAGTGTCTCTCCGTCCTGTTTCTTCGGTTGATTACTGCCTTGGTCTTGCTCTCGTAGCAACTTGTAGTAGTTTTTCTTCATATGACCTTGCAAGCCACAATGGTAACACTTGTATGTAGGTCTTCCTCTGTCATTTGATCTCCTTGGATCTTGTGACTTTCCTCTACTTTTACTCTTTCCTCTTCCCCTACCTCTGCTACCTCCTTATTGTCTGCCTCTGTTTTCAGTGACGAGGACATTTGACTGGTCAATACCAACATCCTTTCTTCTGGCCTCCTCATTGAACAGGGCATCCTTAACCATTGACATGGTAAGNGAAGCTCTGATACCACTTGTTGGTTACCAAGGGCCAGAAAAAATACCACAAACAAGATATAAACAAAGAGGATATCTCCATTTCACCCCGGAAATAAAATACAAAAATTTATACAAAAATTCTCACTGAAATTTCTCCTAAATCTCTCTCTCTCTCTCTCTTTCTTCCTCACTAATCTTGTGCATATCTAGCTTTCATTAAGCTTCCTATTTATTGGGAGTTTTTTTGGCCAAATAAATTAACGAAGAGGGAACACAATTAAATGTTTTTGGCAAATTTTGTCAAAGCTTTAGTTGTCCACAGTCTTCAGCTGTCCACTGTTTGTCTGTGAATAGGGTGGTTGCTAGAGTGGGCTGTAGATGGAGCTGGCAGTAGAGTAGGCTGCTGGGTAGCCTCTGATGGAGCTAGATCCTTCATAAAATAGGCAAGCTCAGTTTCTGCATCATCTCCTTCCATGATGGAAGTTATTGCTGCAGAAAGCAGTACTTCTCGACCCTCCTGTATAATTGCAGCGTCTTTTCCGGTGATCANAGAATATTCCTTTAAATTTGACGAAATATGCTGACAGTGACAGAATATTCCCTAGATGGAATATGCTCTGGGAATATTCTCTGAATGGAATATGCTTTGACGGAGTGGAATATTCTGTCATCTTCAACCTTGCTCCGGTCACCGATTCGTTGGAATTTTTCAGCGAACTTCCGGTGGCAACTCCGGCAATCTCCGATGAGCTCCGACAGCAACTCCAACTATCGGTGAATTTTTCGGCGAACTTTTGGCGAAGACCGTGAGAGTGCGTACGATATCAGATTGATGCAAGGCCAATGAGTTTCGAGTTCGTTTAGAATTCAATGGTGCGCTCAAAATTTGATTTCGACGAGAAGAATCCAATGGTGCGCTCAAAATTTGATTTCGAGTTCGTTTAGAACCCGTCCGAACCAAAAATAGTGAGTTTTGAAAATTTTTCGGCAACCTAACCAAAGCTCTGATACCACTTGTTGGTTACCCAGGGCCAGAAAAAATACCACAAACAAGATATAAACAAAGAGGATATCTCCATTTCACCCTGGAAATAAAATACAAAAATTTATACAAAAATTCTCACTGAGATTTCTCCTAAAATTTCTCCTAAATCTCTCTCTCTCTCTGTTTCTTCCTCACTAATCTTGTGCATATCTAGCTTTCATTAAGCTTCCTATTTATAGGGAGTTTTTTTGGCCAAATAAAATGTTTATAGGGAACACAATTAAATGTTTTTGGCAAATTTTGTCAAAGCTTTAGTTGTCCACAGTCTTCAGCTGTCCACTGTTTGTCTGTGAATAGGGTGGTTGCTAGAGTGGGCTGTAGATGGAGCTGGCAGTAGAGTAGGCTGCTGGGTAGCCTCTGATGGAGCTAGATCCTTCATAAAATAGGCAAGCTCAGTTTCTGCATCATCTCCTTCCATGATGGAAGTTATTGCTGCAGAAAGCAGTACTTCTCGACCCTCCTGTATAATTGCAGCGTCTTTTCCGGTGATCAATTCCAGCATCACTACTCCAAAGGCATAGACATCAATCTTGGGAGTCACTACCCTATTCTCGATGTACTCAGGCGCCATATAACCCCTAGTGCCCACAATTTTTGTTGTCAGAGAGACTAAAGTTTCCAATCTTCGCTCTTAGATTGCTGTCTAGAAGAACATTGCTGCTCTTGATATCCTTGTGCACGTAGGCTGGTTTTGTGAAGTTATGAAGATAGTTAATTCCATTAGCAACATCCAGGGCAATCTGAATCCTACAAGTCCAGCTTTCCGTCTCTCTAGAGCTTTTATTGTGGAGCCATTCTCTTAGAGAATCATTTTCCATGTACTCATAGGCAAGGTAGAAATGGCGGTGATGTTCATTAAGCTTAATCAGATTGAAGTGGTTGATCTTCGTCAGTATGTTCACCTCCTTGGATACATCTATACCCATTCTCATGATGACTAAGATTTCCCATCTAAACACTCCACGATGCACAAAACCCCTTATTTTACTTCGAGCACTGAAATTATCTGTTTCCACCTTTAATTCCTCAAAGTTAAGAACTTTGGGGCCTTTATCAAAAGTAGCAATTTCGACAAGGATGTCTTCTGGCAGCACCCCCTTAGTTTTTTCTTCTTCATCATTCAGGGGAAGACTTTAGGCCGTAACATTTAGTAACAAAAAAATCTTTAACCCAACAAGTGCTCTCCGAACCAAGCTGGATAGTGTTCTCCTCTTATAAAACAGAAACAAAGTGAGTAGGACAATACAAGCAACCAGCACAGGGCAACCTACTGCAAGTGCAACATGCACATCTTGATATCTTTTCGGTCTATTGTTTCTGATACTAGTTGTAGAATTGGTTTAGGGTTCTGGATTATCATCTTTGTACTCACAGGTTTAGTTGGCAAAGGAATTNAGTAGAAGGAGGTGAAATGATTGGTTTAGGGTTCTGGATTATCATCTTTGTACTCACAGGTTTAGTTGGCAAAGGANTGTAGAATTGGTTTAGGGTTCTGGATTATCATCTTTGTACTCACAGGTTTAGTTGGCAAAGGAATTAGAATGGTTGTGAAAGGAAATAGAATTGGATTATCTTCAGAAAGCCCATTTGCTTCAAGAACACTTCTTGCGCTTACGTTAAACCTCTTTTCCAATATCAGGAACATTATCATCCCTGCTAACTGAGTAAGTTAGTAAATATTTTTTCCCATTTTCGTTTTGTTTTTTCGTACGACAAGCGCATCTAAGAGGGACTTGCAACTCTAGACCAGGCTTCAATCTGAACTCCCCAAAAGGAGTGACTTGTAATAAAAGTCTTGATCATTAAAAGTTTAGTAAGCATGCATTTGCAATGGTATTTTTAGGGTATGATTGGTCATCGCAAGTTTTGGACTATATATCTTACAACGCTGAGTCAATTCAACTCTCTCTGATCTCTATCTCTCGCNTAACTCTAGACCAGGCTTCAATCTGAACTCCCCAAAAGGAGGGACTTGTAATAAAAGTCTTGATCATTAAAAGTTTAGTAAGCATGCATCTGCAATGGTATTTTTAGGGTATGATTGGTCATTTCAAGTTTTAGACTATATATCTTACAACGCTGAGTCAATTCAACTCTCTCTGATCTCTATCTCTCGCTCCCTCTCTCTCTCACCCCCACAAACAAACATTTTTTTGAGGTGTAGATTAATGATACATTTTTAGATAAAGGTATATACATTAAGCGGAAATAAGATTACTGCTAGAAGTGCTGAAGAAATTCTTCGAACATTGGACATATATGTAGTCCGATAGGTGTTGTTCTTTGAACATTGCAACCCTCCTCACTTTAGGTGTTGTACTTAACTTGAGATGGCCTTTGAATGAGGTTGTTTATTAAGTGGTTTTTTTTTTTTTTTTGGCTTTTTTGAGACACTTTCTCCTAACACATTTTATAGATTTTATTAGAAAAATATTTGATACCTGAGGGCAAAGTATCAATTGTATATCTTTCTCTTATAGGATAAAATTTTTCAGTAGCATAATAGTTGATTTTATTACTTGAGACAATTTTTATAGTTGGATCACTCACTGTATTGATATGCGTTAGCTATTATTGATGGATATAGGTTTTTTGAGATCTTTCTAAAAAAAATCAATTATTTATATACTTTTGAATATAAATTATGTATTCTTGACATTTTCAATAAAACGCCTGAAATGCTTGGCATTTGTCCCAACGCCGATGCCAAATACCTTTAAAGACCATTTTTCTTGTAGTGTCAATGGCAATGAACCATTCTAACTAAACTCCTTTGTGAGTAGTATACTTAAAACTTTTAATAGAATCATTTGGTACATATTCAATGACAAATACAATTTGAATAATAAAAAATTGGAGCCTATTAGTGGGTCTTATGGTAGATGTTGGGAATAAATATAAATTGATTGATTAATTAAATGCGTAGATATTCTCATTCCATTTCAATTTAGAGATTTTTATTGGACTTTAGCTTACTAAGCTTATTATCTTTTTGGTTGGCAATTGTGATATACTTCTTTGTACCTTGCTGTGATCAGCCTGCGACAAGGATTAGCTATAGGAAGCTTCCGATGATGTTCTGATGGGGAACATTATTTACGTGAAACTACAATGATAGCAAGTCTCGGACTATGAATTGATAGGGGTAAAGTTATGTAATGAACAGTTGAAACGATGACAAATAATTTTTGATTTATTCACAAAAAACATTAAAACAATTAATGTCCAACGCACGTTTGTATCAATTAATATACACAATTACACTCAAGTAGTATTGGTAAACAAGTCGCCCGCAAGGTGGTGTATTCCACCAGCCACAATATGTCACCCTTCTTCCTCCACTCTCAATGTTTCTTAGTGGGACTCAGTTCCACTGGGTCCCGTAATTGACTCGCAAGTCATGTGCATACAACAATATGTTTATACCTTGCTGTGTCCATATAGAAGTGTCTTCTAGGTTGAGTTGTCTTCTAGGTAAGTGAGTACCTGGATTCCCGCTATGGGGTTCTCACCTTAAGTCTTGATTAGCACTGATTACACACCTTGAATTTGGAAATTGATCACTGTAATTTGAGCGAGTTTAAAACATGTCCTCTAAGAAATAAGGTTGACTAACTCTGAGGGGATATAAGAAGGGTAGAACTTGAGGGAATATGAGAAGTGTAGAACTTGAGACATCTGGATTACTAAAGGGTAGGTTCAATCACTGAACAACTCTTAAGGGTTATGTAAATATATATTAAATGTGAACAAACCAAAATTGATAAATTGCACGTGCATTGCACAAGATACTGCTAGTATATATGTTTATGAGGGAGAGAGAAAGAGGTCCAATGTGAGAAAATTTTAAGTTTAGGGGTAATTTAGTCCTCTTGTTATTAAACATCCTTTAACTCCTAATTTTTTTTAATGGACTTAATGGCCTATTATGTCTATTAAATTGTAGGGAAATTTGGAGGTCAATCCTCCCTATATGGACTTGTTTGGACTTAAGTCCATCAAGGAAATTTATTTGTTATGAAGTCTATTTTTTGTCAATTTTACTATAATATCCATTCCCTTTAGAAGTGAAATAAAATTAAAAATTAAAAACTCTTAAATCTTAGAAGTTTGACCAACATTAAAATCTTTTCTCTCTCATATCTATCTATATCTATATATAGGTGAAGAGTTTGACTAACATTAAAATTTTTCCCCTCTCTTTTATATATTTATATATAATAACATTAAAAGTAAAAAATAGTAACATTCAAATACCAAAAAAAGTTATCATTTGGACACAAAAAATAATACATTTAAAGACAAAAAAATTGAAATATTTAATATTAATATTTTTAAAAAATAACAACAGTAACATGTTCAACAAAAATATTAACATGTTAATAAAAATAGTAACATGCTTAACAAAAACTGTAACATACTTAACAATAATTATTGCTCTCAAATTCAAAGGCAAAAAATAATATCATCCAAATACAAAAAATAGTACTATTGAAAAACAAAAAAAAATAGTAACATTGAATATTAATATTTAGTAAAATAATAATAGTAACATGAACAGTAACATATTCAACAAAAGCAGTAACGTGAACAGTAACATAATAAAAAAAATATTAACATGAATTTGAATAGTATAAATTCATGGTAACATGCTGATGTAAACAATATTGCACAAAGTTTACCCCAAAAGATGGTAAAAAAAAAGAACGACGAGAATGAAAAATAACACTGAATTTGAAACATAACATTTTTTTTTACCCTTGTGAATTGTCTTCAGGGATAGTAACTAGTGAATGTGAATCCCCTTCCCATAATCTCACCAGCACAATACCATGCAAAGCACTCCAACCCAAACAAAGCAGCAATGCCAGCATCCTCAACATTCAGTTCCTGTCTATTCTTCCACACGTGCTTTTGTGTTCTGTGACAGAAGGTTTTGGTTGGTAAAAGTAAAAATGATGAGAGCCTTTGCTTCTCTCGCCACCAAGCTTTGGATTTTAATTTTAAATTTATGATGAAGATTTTATTGACATATTTTAATGAATATTGAATTAAGGGATAACAATTTCTAAAATAGGAAATTAATTTAATTTTCTTTCAAGGAAGGGTATTTTTTAGATAAAAAAAAAGTAAACTTAAGTCATTACATATAATTTTAAACATGAACTTTGTTCCTTATAAGTTTCCTTGCAGTACTTATCTTCAAACAAATACATCTAAGAGAACTCACTTTCAATTTTCACTAAATTGTACCGACCTCCGGTTGGGTTTCACAACCCACTGAATTGCATACGAAACTCTAGTTGGGCTTCACAGGCCCAAAGAGTTTATTCCCATCTTTAAGGAACCTTGCTTATGTAGAAAGAAGCAGATCCAAAATCCAACTATTCATGTAAACCAAAAAAGGGAACCCCATTCGTGACCCAATCACACGTGGGCTTTCGAGCCTCTACCGTCTTTTCTTCTTTATTTTAGATAGAATATCATTTATCAAAATTTTTGTACCAAATTAATCTGGGTAGTTAGGTTAACCAGTTTCACTAACTTTCAGACATACCCAATGATTTTCAATACAACATATCATTTATTTTTCAATATTTGATTAAAACAAAGCATTATTCATCAAATATTAAAATTCCAAACACCAACTCGAAAAACAACAAAAATAATAGTAATAATTACATGGTAATATTAATCAATCAAAGATTATGAAACTCATTCAATCTACTCATTAACTTGTTAGCCAAAAAAAAATTGGGACTAATTTTTTTTACTTAACTCAACTCTGTCTTATTACTTTTGAAGATGCCTACATGAATTGTACTTTTTTATATTAACATAATAATATTCATGTAACAAATTATCCTAATCCGGTGTTTTGTTGTTGGTTAAAAGAGGGGTGGAAAAAAAGAAGAACGTCCAGAAACCACCCCAATAAGTCTTCTTTGGTGAGATTATGAGACCCTTGACTGCGCTCGTTATTTTTTTTGAGAAAGAACTTAATTAGGTTAGTATAGCGATCAATCACTGAATTTCAATGTGAAATTCAAAACTTGAAACTCTAACTTTGCGGTGAAACGTTCGACTGGTATCCCATTGAACCACTCTAGTCGGTGGGAATTATCCTAATACGTTAATTTCCCATTGCAAAACCTGGAGTTGAGATCTCTACGTCTCTCTTAGCTCATATGGGCTCCTAGAATGCAAAGACACGACGAGTACAATGTATCTAGACGTATTCTAGAATCCAGGATATTGTTTAATTTAAAAACTACTCTATTACTTTGTTTGATAGAATGAAAAATAGAAAATTTGAGAAATAGATAAAATATTATATTTGATAAGAAAAAAAAATATGAAGGATGAAAAAGTTGATTGATTAATTTTCATTCCAACTCATTAAAATCAATCCCTCAAAAATTGGGAGAAAAGTGAATGAAAAATTAATTATATATATTATTTGTCTATATATATCGTTTGATATATACACATATCATATTTATTAATTATATATAATTTATTTATATTTTTTCATCTTTTATTTTTTCATTAATACTAAATACAAAAAAATTAATACTTTTTTTCCTTAGAGGGTAGAAAGCATATCTTTATTATTTTTCTTCCCTTCTATTTTTTATCTTTCCTACCAAA